GGAAAATGTATTTTCAGGTTCAGCTGTTTTGTGTTTATACTTGGTATAGGATCAAACATGAATTCAGCTCCCTTCCATAGCTTAGTAATTGATTGAACACGTTACTTAAACCAAAACAAATTCTTGTGGAGATTTAGGGAGTGTTTTGTAACGTAGATGAGAAATTGTGGACAAAAATGTGTAGACCAATCCACACCACACCTCTATGGGCGTTCTACAAGGTGTAGTGCATTTCAATCCACACCTTGTGTTTGATTCCATGCATCTCAACTACAACATTTAAGATAACCTATGCCATTAATCATTAAAAATAATATTTTATTTTTTTGTAATATACACAATATAATAATAATAGTAAATTGCTAAGAATTTTAATAATTAATAATATTAAATGACACGTAATAATATTAATATTAATAATAAATGAGTAGTAACATTAATGATATTTGATAATATTAACAACAATATTAATAACATTTAATAATAAGTAATAATATCAATAACAATTAATATTAATAAAAGTAATATTCAAAACTTAATAATTATAAAATAATATTAACATTAATTAATAATAATTAATATTAACAAAATAATATTCAAAATTTAATAATTAATAAAATAGTAACTATAATAATTAATAAAATCAAATAATATTTGAAACTTAATATTTTTATTAATAAAATAATACACTCGGGTGGGGAAGCAAAAGCCAATCCCATCTGGGACAAGCAAATCATAAATCCCATAAACTTAAAGAGTTGAGAATCAATAACACAATCTGATTTCTGAAGTAATTTATAGCTGAAACCCAAGAACCCAATCTACAAAGAGTAAGGTCAAAACAACTCATCAGAGCTTGTCCTTTTGTTATTGAACAGTGTATTGTTCCTTTCCCCCCAGATAGACCCAATTACCACAACAAGAATTGACTTCAAAACGCAAACTTGGAAAGACCTGGGAGGCACCAACTACAGAGCACATCCTTTACCGAGCCTGACATCGCCCAACTAGCCCCAGCAACTTTAATAAAATGAAGCCAGATTGACCAAGCAGCCAGACAATGAATGTACAGGTGGTCAATGGATTCATCCACCTGTCCCAATAATAGAACGCATCAGCACAACAATACACCATGTTCATGTACTTTTAGAGAGCTCATAGGCTAAGCACTTCAAAAGTCCAACCCTTGAATATCCTATCTCTTCCTGAACAAATAAAAGTCAATTTCTGGATTCATCTTCATTCCTACCCCCTCATAATTCTCTCTTTTCCGGCACAATTTCCAGCCTTCAAGTTGATAGATGTTCAGGATTCACATGAAGAAGGTTAAGTGTTTTTTAACAAATGATCAAACAATAACTCTTGTCTTCTTGACATAAACAGGAAAGATATTGAAGGAGGATGCTAGTACACCCTTGCTGAGCTAGGGAAAATCAAACTTTTCATGCTAGACCCGATGTATGGCATTACATTCTGAAGGAGGTTGCTACCATCCCCCTCCTGAAGTCAAGTTCCATTAAATCAAGTCAGTTTTAAAATTATATATAGTTTATTATACAAACAAAAGCTTTAGTTTCTGAGTATTTTCTTGAATATTTTCTTTTGTTGAATATCTAACATGTTCTTTGAATATGTTAGACAGAGTACAGAAAAAATACAGAAAAAGAACACCAATGAAAGAAATGATTGAAGTTGTAGAAGATGGAGAAGGAGCACTTACCGCCAGTGGTTCGATGCAGCAATGGTTGAAGATGCAGAAGCAAGTGATTGAGCAATTTTGTTTCTATAGATGAAAAGAATATATGTTTATTACTTTTATAATTCTATAGATGAAGAGAAATTTTGTTTCTCGCAATACATAAACATGCAACCATTCACAGAGCAAAAGAATCGAAGAAGCATGTATTCATCAGCTGTAAAAAATATATGAAACAAGGGTAAGAGTAGATGGAGATGAAGCACTTACTGTCGGTGGTTCAGTGCAGATGTGGTCGGAGTTGCATGCAGGCAGTGAGTGGTGAAGCAAACAGTGGTGGTCGGAGTTACAAAGGCAAGTGGAGAAGAAGGGGCAGCAGTAGTGCTCGGAGTTATAAAGGCGAGCGAAAAAGAAGGGGCAGCAATAGTGCTTTGTAAGAGAAGTTGCAACAATAAAAGAAATTGGGTTTACGTTTCGTAAACATTAGATGCGAAGTATGGGATCAGTCTTCATAGCATCCACGAGATAGCATGGATTGGTCTACACCACAGGCAACCTGAACGTGCTAAGCCACCGTTGTGTGTTTTAAAACGTAACATCTCGTGATCATTCTACGGGGACGGAATCTAATAGGCACATCAAAATAAGCATGTTATATTAAATGAGCACTTGATAAATATTTTGACAACTGTCAAAAGCGGGTATTAATCTTTTTCAAGGGTGGGGTGAGGGTATTTAAAGGGACAGGTATCAAAAAAATTTTCAAAGTGTTCATTGAACGTGCTTACAATTTCGTGCCTACCTCATATGAAACCCATTCTACGATACCCAATACCATCTTAGTGCCAAAAGAATTTTTGGAAAGAGAGGGATTCCTGCATGGTTCTTGTAGAGATTTAGCAATAACTATTTCTACATGGCAAATTCCAACACGTACGTGGGAATTTTTCATTTCGATAAGAACTGAAAGGGTAGGAGTAGGATTCAAATTTCAGCAATAACTATTTCTATTTATACATGTTTCCTTTTACTCTAACCCTGTGTTTGGTTTGAAGGAAAAAGTAGGGGAACGCAGGGAAACCTATATAAATATGAAGGGTAAATATTACTTTTACCTCTACTTGGGTTTCATTCAAATACTAAGGGTTTGTTTGATTTGTGGGAAAAGGGGTTTGGAATTGGAATCAGAATGGTCAATTTCAATTTCAGCTGTTTGGTTGGGTCAAATTGGAATTCCATTCATAATCCTGGTGGAATGACATTCCTCCATGAGGGAATGGTCATTCCCTCCCCCTCCTCTGGGAATGAGAATCAATTCCAATCAGTTCTAATTCTGATTCTGAATCCAATTTTAGACTGAACCAAACAGGTGAAGGGAATAGACCATTCTGATTCTGATTCCAAAGAAATTCAATTACAATTCTAATTCCAACTGTAAACCAAACAGACCCTAAAACGATAGATTTAGATTGATCCATCAACTTATTCACCCCATATAGTTTGAGGTTAATTACGTATTCCATCTTTATACTCATTTTCTGTCAATTTTAGTGAGAGGAAGTGTTAACATATATGACATCTTATATAAAACTTTCCAAAATTCAATTTTGTCATTTTTGTGCCAACTTTTTGTGCATGTTATATGGATAGTATACCCCGAAAGGTATATTTCTTCAGCGGACAATTCTTCTATAACATTTAAGTGTGAATAAAAAGTTTAAAATAAGTGAAAGAAACAATTATAGGTAAAATTTGAGAAGGTCAAACTATATCCAGTGCTCATAGATGAGATCATTTTTTGAATTTCAAAATATGTTTTAAAGGCAAATTTGATACTTTATTACTCTGAAAAAATTTCATAAAATGGTACTTATTTCTACCTTGATTGGTTCTATCTATTCCTGGATAAACCCCCAATTGCATGGTCAAAGAGGGCATAAGTCATCAGGTAAATATGAGGGAAGGTCTTAGTAACTAATTGTTACCGGGGGGAGGTTTGAAGCCAAATAAAAAAATTAAAAAGAAAACTAGGACTAGGAGAGGTATAAGTAATTTATGCTTAAGGCCTCATTCGTTTATCGCCATTCTGGGTAAAATTTACTCAGTAAAGTTTATTTACCCATGTTCTTTTAGTTGAAACTTACCTGAAACTTACCCAGGTAAATTTTACACTCCAACTTATTCATGTTCTTTTGTCTCACCAACTTTTCTGGGTAAGAGGTCAATATGTTATACTATTGTCAAAATTACCCTTTTAGCCTAAATGAATGTTTTTTGTGGAGGTTTTGTTTTATAAACCTATGTAATAGGTCCATGCCATATCAAAAGGAACCCAATCAATCACAAACCAATCACTATTGCCAACATTACCCTTTTTAGAGGTTTTCTTAATACCACTAATCATAGAAAGATCTTAACACCACTAATCGTTAAATTAAATTAAGAACACAGGGTATTTTCGATTAACTAAAACACCCCACGATGGAAAAGTAAACTTACCCACTTTTGAGGTGGATAAATTTTTCCCACGTAAGTGGCCTTTAAACTTACCTAGGGGAAATTTTATTTTCCGTGGACCTTACACGTTTTTGTAAAAGAACATGGAAAAATGGGTCAACTTTCCCACCTCAACTTAGCGATAAACGAATGGGGCCTAAATGAAGTATTAACTGAATAATATCCCCTGTGTGATTTTTTTTTTTTTTGAGTATAAGACATTAAATTAAATTTATATAAATGCATTAGCATAGCTTAAGTCCGAGCTAAACCAGATCAGTTCAGAGTAACTGATCACTTAATTCACATCAATTAATTAAATACTAGCATTTGCTAGAATAATAATTGAAGGGCAAAATAGATAAAGATAAAATTTAGAAAGATTCTAGAAAATGGGAGGTCCAAAACATTGTAATGGGGAGGAACCCCCATTTTCTCTCTCTCTCTCTCCCGTATCCCCTCTTCTCCTCTCTCCTGCCATTCTCTTCCGGACGTTCGGAAGCTTGACCACCATTGTTTTTGAAACTTTGAAAATATGTTTCAAAAACAAGGCAGAATCATCTGGTTTGAAAACAAAGAGAGCATACCTCATCAGGTAAACCCGAGGGAAGGTCTTTGTAACTAATTGAAACCAGGGGAGGTTTGCAGAAGAGAAACAAATGAATTAAGAAAGAAACTTTAAAACCAAAGTGCAAAAGGGATGATTAGGGCAGATCCCAATTTTGATAAAGGAGCACATCCTTTGTTAAAATTTCAATTTTGGCCTGTTCACTAAATGGGTGTGAAAAAAAAAATGAAAAGAAAAAAATTAATGAACAAGAAATTTTTGATTTCTTATTAAAGTTAATGGTATTAGTACGTTAAAAAAAAAAAAAACCCTCTCTTTGTAAGAACACAAAGATTTGTTTTTTCTTTTTCACTCAAGTACGCAGCCTTCATAGATGGTGCTCAACCTCATTTTAAACGACCGCACCGCTAGTCTAGCCCGCCTAGAGGCGCTTCTCTGTAACTTAGCAACAGACCCATATCTCGAAACCCTGACCTCCTTACTCTGGAACCTCTTGCAATCATCATCAACCTCACCTTCTTCTACTCTCGCGTCCACCTCAAAAATTGCAGGCGAAACTCGAATCCTCTTACCCCTCCTACCCGTTTTCTTTGATTCATGGGTGAGGGCAGTACTGGCTTTCACGGCCAATGCTGCCATGTCGGAAGCCGTCAGGCGGTAGTGCAACCGGGTGAGGGGGAGAACGAAGTAGAGCTGTCCAGGCTGGAGTTGCTGGGCGGGGTGCAAGGGTGGAATTAGAGAGTCGTAGAAAAGCTTATCGGAGTTGCAGATGAAGCACGGCGACGTCTCCACTTCGAGGGCCTGGGATACCGTAACGGGGGATGCGTACTCGCGGAGCTTGCCGTCGGCGGAGATGACTTTGACTGTTGGGGAAGCAGAGGAATCGCTGGATTCGGAGGACAAGCAGGAGCCCATCTTCGAGACGGTTAGACAGTAAGTGTTTGGGAAAATTCCTGTGAAAGCCAAAAGACAGAGAGAGGGAGAGGGTGGGAGTTTTTTATTGATAAGCGAGGACGGAGGACGAGGAGAGGTGGTCTGAACTCTGGACTCAGGTGGGAGGGTTTAAAAGGGGAGGAGACGGGGAGGGAAGGTGGGGACTTGCTTCGGCAGCGAAGCCGTCATTAACGAATTGGTGAAAGTGAAACTGATCAGGGGGTTTGATTTGATGGTTTTTGTTTTTGACGTGGTAGTCGTCAAATTATACGATGAAACGCGGCCTCACTTCAGCTCTGACAATTTGGATTCTTGACCGGAATTAAGAGATAGGCGTAAGCCTACCTCCTCTCCTGAATCCTGACGAGACTCCACAGCTGATTGAGGTGGAGCCAGGCGAGCGCCAGTTTCGATTGTGGATGAGTGCCAATCTAAATCAAGGGGTTTTAGTTTTACCGTACAGTTATGGTCGTATTATTATAGAGGAAATGAAGGGTTCTGTGTCAAGGCCACATCTGATAATCCCTATCCCTAAGGTTCACCCTTGGTTCGTAACCCCTAAATAGTTTTAGGGCCTGTTTGGTTGGTAGGGTTAGGGGTTTGAAATTGGAATTGGAAATTTGGAATGAAATTATTCTAATTTCAACTGTTTGGTGGAACTGAATTGAAATTTTATTTTCATTCTTAGTGGAATCTGGATTGGCATTCCCCCATTTGAGACCTGAGAGAATGACTATTCCCTCCCCCTCCCTCGGAAATAGAATCCAATTCTAATTGATAATTGTCATTCGAATTCTTATTTAAACCAAACACACTGTGAAAATAGACGATTCCAAATCAAATTCTAAAAGATTTTAAGTATGGTTCTTATAAACCAAACGGATCCTTGATTAAGCTGCGTGTAACCGCCGCTAGGTAAGGTAAGAGTTACGAGTTATGAGCAACAGATAAATTGGTGTGGATCGCGTGAGGCCGGGGTTTGTTTTTCTAATTTCTAGCGAACCGCGTGAGAGTCAAGGGTCAACTTAAAAGTGCCGTTTGTTTTTGGGGGAAGATTGTTTGTATATCATCAGCCGAGAACACGTGGGGATGCGCCGTGAGACATTGTGGGGCGCACATGTGAACTCCAATTTGTCATGCGGCTCCATTAACTACGGAGTGCAGGTGAAATCTTAGAAGAAGTATCAATCAGCCTAGATCAGAATTTTCTAAGCCCAAAGTACAGGGGAATGCATCGTGACTGTGAATTGATACTAAATTTACGGACAGGATGTAGTTTATAGGGGAAAGGAGTAGTTGTGGGAGTTGAAATTCAGAATTCTGCATCGTATCCGTACTCCGAATCTTATGAATATTGATTCTCAGTTTCCCACTCAACGAACTTTGGTCCCTTGATTGGCCGGCAGGCCAAGATCATCATACATCATATCAACTTTGCTTTAACACAACTTAACAGTCCAAAAATATTTACTGGATTGGGTTAGATTGGAACTGGTCCATCTATAATAAATTTACATTGAAACGGATTGGACTGAACCAATATTCGGTCCATTGATAAAAGATGTGAATACAAGTATCAATGGATTTGAACAAATTGATCAATCTAAACATCAAATTGGATTTATCCAAAATATTTTTCGAATTGAATTACACCTAAACTATCTGTAATAGATTCATATTGGACTGGATTAGATTAGGCCAAATCCGGTCCAATTAACACACCTTATTCAAGGGTGCAAGGCAGGCCGAGTAATGTTGGGGGGAAATACTAACCCAACCCTAAGGTTCAGTTTGGAACGAGTCCAGATACAAATACGTATATATTTAGAAATACAAAATATGAGGCTTTTACAAAATGTTTTTTGTTCCTAAATTCGTGTTAATTCTAGCTTCAAAGTTATTAGGTATAAAAAGAATATCGTTATTATGATTTAGAAAAGTTTTTCTTTTAAACTTAAACTTATTACATATATCATACATACACACATGCATTTATATTTATATACACAAATTACATTTTGTGCTGACTTATCAGATGATTTGAAGAATATGACATAGGGATGATCATGGGCCAGGCTCGGGCCTGGTTTTGCACTTATGATAAGGGTTATAGTTTAGACCTGGGCCCGGCTTAGACCAGGGTTCCGGGCCTGTAACATAAGCCCTAGCCCAGTTCTACATGGCCTGGGCTTGATTTTGGGCCAATGCTTTTCATATATAAAACATTACATAGTTATAATATTTTATATTAAATGACATAACATGCATATAAACTTATTTTATACATTATATAATATAAATTATACAAATCATGTTATAATATTTATATATAAAATATATAATATAACGTAAAATAATTTGTATACATTATACAGAAAATGCGTAAGTTTAAATATATTAGAGCTAGCCCGGAATTAAAATATTAAGTCCAAATCTGACCTAAAATTTACAGATCAAACCTAAATACAAAACCCAGGCCCAAGTCCAGAATTTTCAGACCGAGCCGGACTGGGCTGAAATGATCACCCCTAAGTCCTAATATGACACAACAAGGGGAGCGCAATGGATCCCAACTACCTACTTTCCAGCTGACTTTAATGGAGGATTCTAGATAGTAAGTGTAGTGTTAGCCATGTGACAAGTATGGCGCAACATGAGGCCCATGATTTTCGATCTACATCACTAATTAATTAATTCACCTAATGGAACAAAAGGTATTTTTATTTTATTTTATTTTGTAGGGTGGGTTTTGTCAACTCATGTGTTGTTCCTTTTCTCTTTTTCATATATCAGCAACAACATATTTGTCAAACTGTTGTCCCTTCATTGCTTTACTTCCATGTGTTTTTTTAATTAAATGCTTTTAACTATATAAATATGTACCAAAACTTTTGTATCCTGAATATTTAATTAATTTTAGGGTTTTTCTTAATCATAAATTTCTAAAAAAAAAGTCTTTCAATTGCCACCTAACTAATTAATAAACAATTTTGTGACGATCCCCACTCGTAGTTGTAGGGCTTAATTACTCAATACTCACCTTGAAACGTTCCGGATCCGGCCCGTGAATTAATTACATACTTGTTTTGGCATTTCGTCAACTCTGCTGTGTAGTGGTGTAGAAAAAAAAATAAACAAATAAAATTCAGCCTTAAATAGCATCGTTTTTTCAATTGACAAAATTTATTTTCAACGATGTGGTTATTTGAATGGCTGAGGTCGTGAATAATTCGAATAAGTTAGCCAAATGTGAATGTAGAATTGACTTACGTTAATAACTCATACGCAAGGATAAAATAACGGTGACGTGGAGGGCTTGAATCGAGACTTAAATAGCTTAATTAAAGCTGTCGTGTTGCCATAAGTAAATATTATAAAAAACTGAAATTAGTTTATTGTACTGACCGTACCTTCTCGTATGACTTTCAGCAACTTAGATCAGTTGGTGGCGTTTGGTGAGTCTTTTGGTGTTTTGGGTTTTCATGAGTTTGAGTTTGAAAGACACCAAAACCCAGTTTTTTTGCCTTTGTTAACCAAAAGTTAGTAATACAAGGAGTCGGGATCTGCTACTCATTATATTGGGTGTTTCTCACATCGACCTTACATCATGTTCCAGCCATACATTAGCAACATCTTTCGTATTTGCATGTTATTATTCGTGGGAGGTGTTCCCGATATACAGTGAGATGAAGCTGTAAGGTTATTGTAAGGAACATTCTTTGAGAGCAGATCCCAATTTTATGGAAGATGCATGTGTGGAAAGATCCGAAAAGACTAAAAATATCGAATTTCGAAAAGCTTTAAATGAAGCTTTTTAGTTTTTTGACATAATAAATAGGCTCTTAACGTGTTTTTAAAAGCTCAATAGATCAAATCCCTTACCAAATGATCTTTATCTTTAAAATTAAGATCCTAAAAGCTTAATACAATTTTTGGTTATCTAAGCTTTTGGAAGATCGTTCTACAAAGATCTGTCAAATGGCACCTAGATATAAAGCTTAATACGTCTCTTCCCTTCCTTTGGGTGCTTTTATTTCGTTTCTAATTGTCTTGGGTGGGAGGTCTCTTCCCCGTCATATATAATTTTTTGCATTGCTATCAAAAAGATCTTGGAGATAATAAGAATCTTTGAGTACCACCTCCTTTCAGTGGGTTAGATGGATGGGCTACATTACGTATATGTTTGGCATCGATACTGCAGCCCTATTTTCTCAGAAAAAGGTGCTGCTGATGTGTGGGTTGGAAACATCATTTTTTGAAAAAAACAGTGTCTTTTTTTGTTTGAGTAGGACGTTTTCTGGAGTAACAATAATTTTTTCCGTTTGGAACCAATGTTCTAGGAAACATTTTCAGCACTGGTACTCATTATTCAGTATCATATCACTGCCTTGTGGACAACAACGAGCCATAACTCCAGAAAACGTCAAATTTAATGTTGCTCCAAACTATACCTTCTCAATTTTCGAAGTATAATTTGGAGCATTATTTTTTTATTGAAAAACGATTTCAAACAAATGTTTATTTCCTGAAACACCATTTTTTCCGACATAGCGCTAATATGCCGTGTTTTCTAAAACAAACAGACGCTAGTACATTAAACATGGATAGTACCATCTCCTTTGAATGAGGACCACACACATAGATACAAAGGCCCCGAACTGTAAGACTATCTGATACGTGGAGGCTATTTTCTTGCCTCAAAGAAAAGTCTATCACTATCACTAGTAGCTTTATTCCCAAGATATTGACTACTAAATATTAGTTATTATTTATTCTAAGTAGACGTGATGACTACTCTTATTTTATTTTTAATTAATTTTTACCTTTATATATGCAAGGAGAAATACACAAGGAAGAGCAATTCTCTTAGCCAAACTCAGTTGGGGAAGATATATGAGAATGACACCACATATTCAAGGGGATTTGATGGAGGATTACCTCGCCTGTCTAAATTTCCACATGTTTTTTGCATGTAGTGGTGTCCTTTTTTTTAGGTTTTATAAATGTCCTTTTGTAATTTGTTATTCTGGTGGTGACTGGAAATTGGGATTTGGGATGGAAGTCTTGTATTTACATAATTAATAAGTCCATTGTCAAGTAATAAGCTTTCATTTCTCCCTTCGCCAACTAAAAGAAAGAGAATAAATCAAAAAGGAAATCTGCATTCATACAAGAGAGGAAAAATATCCACTATGAAATAAGAGATACAAAATGTTACTTTCACTCAACCCTAATTCTACACAACTAATTATTTAAATAAATGAAAAAGTAAAGTATGCCAGAATTACACAAAGGGCTTTCTTCCTTCCATAAATACATACAATACAAGTCTTTAAAATTTTTCAATATTATAAATATATCCCTGTAATCAGTGTTTTTGAATTGTCGTTGATTCAGATTGTCAGACTGTTCGGCTCAGAAACCATCTAGGCAATTGGTTCTGTTTCACCCTTAACCCAATCCTTAGCAAAAAAAAAAAAAAACATTAATTTGAACAATGATCCACTTATCTTAATTGAACCGTCAACCTGTTTGACCCATTCAACGGTTATTGGATGTTTTCTTTTTTTAATTTTT